ACTGCTGCTGCTGCAAGACACGAAGCCAGCACGAGTCAGCAAGCCCGGGCCTTTCCGATACGAGTTTTCCGCAACTTACTCCAACCGCTCGTGATAACACGAGAATCGTAAGCAACTGTCCAGTTACTGAAGTCGGACATTTTCACAGCGAGGAGGATCGTGCATTCCGCAGCCTCCCGTCAGCGCGGATGCATCGATGTTATACAGCAATAGCAGCTCTGCCGCGGCGCGGGAGACTTCTGCCGCCAGTAGTCCTAGATAACTAAGCCGCTGCACTTTGCCTGCAAAGTCATCGGCCGGCGGTATTGACCTGGAGCGGATGGCCCGGTAACGAGAAACGTCTCGTATTGCCAGCGCTCGCTCACGCGGAGCGAGCGTTTACTACTTAGCCCGATTGCCAAGTTGTGCCCATACTGCGCCTATATCCAGTCGCTAATATCAGCCCTGCAGTGTGAGCGCGAAGCTCTCGAGTACCCACATGCTGTACCAGAGCGCAGCTGCGAAGTCTCACTGTGGTAGGTGACAACGTACGGGGCAGCGTTTGAGCGCTTTTGAGCGCTTGTTCACTCTGATTCCGCGTGACGCTTGCACTAGCCGGCGTTAGGGCATAGCTACAGACCGTTGCCACACGATTGATTGCCCATTCCGCGAACATGTCTCCTGCTACGTGGGCCGACATTCGTCTCTGTTAAAGGTAATCAATATGTCCCTGGGAGGTGCCAATGTTCGTTTGTGTCAAAACGGCGCCGACAAACCTGGGTCAGCGCGTTATAGGACCTCATGGGAATATGTACAAGGTTACGAGGAAGCTATCCACTGACAACACCGCAGCTGTTGTCTCCGCCCGGGTCTTTCTCTGCTCTAGTGTCTATCGCTTGAGAGCTACACTGGACAAGGCATAGTCTCGTCCCCAGCCATTCTAGCGCGCCCGGACTTCGCCGGTCGGAGACTGCGTCGGACATCAATGGTGATGTGCAGTCTCTCGCTAGAATGTCTGGTCCACTTGGATCACGTGTTCGGTGATGGCGAGCTTAGCGCTCGCCCTCAGGTGCAATTCCCCCGTCGAGGAAAGATAGTTTACAGACGTTGTTCCATTAACAAGCAAAGCAGTAGTTACACCAGGTACAGAATGAAATGGTACATTGTTAATCAGTCAGAGTAGCGCCATCTTGAACTGGTTCGGGCTCGGGCAACTCTGGGCCCTTCATAAGGTAAACTATGTCCAGAAGTTCTAGACTCGCTGTCCATTTGTCCCACCGATTCTTCGTACCCGACGCGGCCTTTGGCGGGTAGCGATAGACGTTACAGTGTAGCAGTACAATGTCTCCAATGGCAATGTCGGCTGCACTGAGGTCGGGGTTCTTAACGGGAGGATCATCCTCGCGACCGTCGAAAACGCGCTGATAAGGAAGGCTCTGGTGCAGCATAGCAGGTTAGACTATGTAAATGATTTGTGATGTCCGACGTACCACAGATGCTTGGTCTCCACGAGTGCGTACCGTCTGCCAGCGGGAAGCCCAAACTGTGGTACGGTTCTCCACTTCTGTAAGGCAGTCAGCAAAGGTTGATGGGAGAAGGATTCAGTACATACGAGTGGGTTGGCTGCGCGTGTTTAAGAGGCGATTGTAGGCGCGTAGATCACTGTCTCAAAGAGGCACGACACCGATGTTGACGCGCTCGACAGGCTCACCACGCTTGGTGAAGAACCAGAACGAGCGGACCTCGCCGACGGTGGTTACGCGAACGGGCTTGTTTGACAGACATAAGAATTTCGGAGCGTCGCTAGGAGAAAACTGTGACTTGGCGTTCAGGGTTTTGAGGGCCGCATTAGCCTTCTTGTGGCCAGGTTTATTCTGAGATGAACCCCAAGTTGCACCGGCTGGGAGGGCAGCGATAGGATACTTGCGGCTGGTGGGGTTATCACGTGTGGCGTAAGACGCGATGTGCCTATAGAGTTCAAACTGATGAGACGAGAAAAGGTACACAGAGATGAAACATACTTCATCTCTTCATGCGTGAGGCCATCCGGGTTGCTGAACCCGTTAAGCTCCGTGGGATAGTCTTCAGGTAGCGTCGTCTCAGCAGGGGTTATTGTACCTGTGATGCGCAGAGGTCCTCCGAGTTGAATCAGGGCCCTAAACTTGATCAGCGGACAGGGTTTCGATGATGAAAGAAATTAGACACGTACCGACTGGCTATGTCTTCATCGAGAACTTTGTCTTGGACGGGAAGAATGATTTTGTCCTCAACAACAGATGGAATATCACTGTGACAAACGTGTTGTCAGTGATAATACTAGAAGAAATGGTTGGCGTACCTCGCTGCAGAACCTGCGGTAGCAGTTGCCTTTGTGGTAGTAGAAGACGACTCCGACGGTGGTGTAACTGTCTCTCCTCCTTTCTCCTTGACATCGTCATCGACGGAAGCTTGCTCATTGGTAAGCAAGTCATGGGCCGGATCCGGTGCACCACGAGGGCGTTTCTTCGGAGGCTCAGCAGGAGATTCATTGGCGCGCTTCTTATTTTTTGGCCTAGAGAATGTAGTGAGAGCTGAGGTCATATGAGAAGTAAGTGCTGCGTACTCTTTATCTCTTGAGGTTGTAGGAGACATGACGATGTAGTTAGAACAGAAGAACCACGAGCCGCGCTGGGAGATTCATTGCTTTTGCAGGTGCAGTATATATAGCTTTTCAGGTTGTATAGAACAAGAGCAAGTCAAGCAGGAGTAGCGTCGTACGAATGTCTGTGCTCCTGTGTTTAGTTTTGATCATAATGTGTCTGGCCGCAGATGTGGAGCGACATCGCAGCATGCACGTGAAATGGAAAGCTCGTGATTAGTTGTAGGAGCGTGTAAGAGGAGGTTGAGCCGCATGTAGTTCAGGGCAGGAGACGTGAATATGATGGTATATAGGAGCTGTGTTGTGGAGACAGGGTGCGCATGTTGTGAATCAGGGTCAGGAGATACAGTGCTGAAACAGGGCGCGTACATTGCAAATGCTCGAGACAGGGTGAGCGCGTTCTGATCGTAGGTGAGTTAGGAGTTAGCGCATCGGCGTCTTGGCTTGTTCTAGTACACCCGCATATTGGCTAGAAATGGTGGCGTATAAAGCTTGTTGCGACCTGTTACTTCCTTTGCTATGCAAGATGTCATTTTTGATTGGTAAGAGTCGCCGTCTCGGATGAGCCCCACAGTGTTGACAGAAGACTTTCAGGAGCAGATGGTCTCTTGAGAGATCAGTGGCCACGATTCGTAGGGCGACCACTGCTTGACGATCTTGATGCCGATACGGCCGAGTCGTGGCAGATGGTTCCTGTCAGTGAACATGACCTGGGTCTTTGGGCCAAGGTTGTTGGTGCTGGACAGGATACTACGGGCTGCAAGCGGTTCCGTCTTGTGTACAAGACGAAGGATGACATCCAAGGTTTCAATCGTCCGAGTGAGGTCCGCCTTCGCTTGCAAGGAGTCGTCAAGAAGTGGGAGCTAGGACCGCTTGGGGATTGGGAAGGGTAAGACTGCGAAGAAATAGTAACTCAACGATTCGCTTACATTGACCCAGTGCTAGGTCCAAATGCCTGGGTGCAGCTCAAAGGCTGGAGCTGTACGGTGATTTTGCTCCTGAAGTTTTTGCTGTCCAGCTGGACGCTTTGTTCAAGCTGGTCAACTTTATCGGCAGAATGCTTCGTTGTGACCGCGTGTGCGCGGATTACAGGGTGAAGACAGTATCATGTTGGAACGCCGGCTGTTCACCAAGGTGAGTCATGCTATCTCTTGTTTTATGTTTGTACCTACTTACAGTTGACTAGAATGAATCCGTTCGTGCTGGGAGAGTGTGCTCAGCACTGCTGGATGACGATGATCCTGAGTATCTCGCTCGTCGTGTGCAGGAGGAATGGGTCATTACTCATCGTCCCGGCTATCTGTTGGAGACGGATGACGGTGATCTTGTTGAGACCACCCCTCATGCATTTCATGTTGGCGACTTTGTGGATGTTGCCGTCACTTATGACATTCTCACTCGGGTTGTCAGAGGCGTCAAGACAGCAGAGATTTCCATCGGAGTGGAGGATGTATTAAGGCTGCATTCAAAGCAGAGTATCAAGGTCAGCATAGATGATTATGTGACAAATGCTTGTATGCTGATGGTATTGCAGAAGATTGAGTTTTCTTCGGTAGTTGAGTGTGTTGAGACCACGCAGACCTCTTCCGGGTTTGGTATAGCGCGGGAGCGTGCGGTCGTTTAAGGAGGAGATGGGATTTATGAGAGCATCAGATGATCACGCGCAGAGTCGGGGATGTTCGGTTGGTCGTGGTGTATGGCAATGTATTGTTAACAAGGTGAACAGTGAGGAAATTTATGGTAATGAGCTATGTAGTGAAATGTGCAGTGACAAAGATGGTATGGAACGATCTTTTAAACGAAGGTAGTAACTTGTTTGCCCAGGCCAAACCGTCTTTCTTTGGACGCTCTCTAGCCTTAACTCGTAAATGAACATCAGACACGTAGGGAACCAGCGATTGAATGCGTGAGGCGAAGTCGACCCAATTGCTATTGAGAGTCTTTGTCAGATATCTTGGTCCCATTACCCATCCGAGGAAGTCATATTGAAGAGTAAGCTGCGTTACAGATTGCGGGAGTTGTCTGATGACGTTGTATATCGCATCTTGCCAAAATTGTACGTTGTATCCAACTGGATATGATAGCGTGATGGATTTGAGTGCGTCGCAAGCCGTAAGTTCGGGGCATGTCCATGGCGAAGGGTTCCGGACTGGGATAGGGGTTTATGTTATGTCCAGTCAAGTATTGATTGACTCACATGCTAATGGTGGCGACCACTCAAGGCAGACTATGGTCAATGTACTCGTTGATAGGCTGAGTAATGAGCGTAGAGCCACATGGTCAGTATCGCGGATATTTGAGACAGTCACCTGATCACCGTAACGCAATGAATATTGCATAGGTGGAGAACTGTCTTTGTGACGAGTGTTGGGCAAAGTGATGGTCAAGGTGTGAGTGTGGATCGCCACCGGACGCGAAGAGTTTGAGTTGTCACTAGATGTCGTGACTCGGTCAATAAATACCAATGTAAACGAGGATTGTTTGTGACAGAAGGTTGAGACAGTAGACAGATGTACACGAGATAGTCTCAGAACGTCGTACGGTATCTCAAGGAAAGAATGGTTGGTGCACGTGATAGAGCAGTTTCGTATGGTAAGACAGCGGAGGTTTGGAAGCAGTTGTAGGATCGCGTTGAGAGAGGCGGTAGTAAAGGATGTGTGTGAGTCTCGTGCAAAGGGCGTTGCTCGAGAGGTGATCTTTAAGTCTTGGATACACTGAGTGATAGATGGATATGTCGACAGATGCGCAAAGAGGTTTTGAAGATGTGATGTTGGCGAAACGGTGAAGGTAATGCATCGATAAAGGAGGCTGCGACATGTATGAGACCATTCTTTGCAGACGAGACCGCAGAGATGTAAGGCTCTGCGATCTCCTAAGAATGTCAAAGTTTCTAGAACGAGGTAAATTTCGTCGAAGCGGAGTGACATGGTGGGCATACTGTACGAACGAGAAGAGACAGAATATAAGACGAACGGATGAAACCGAAAAGGACTACCGCGGAAATTCCCAAACTAAATCTACTCCTCGAGCTCGCCGACCGAACGGATAACTTGTACCAAGGACTCGGTCCAAGGTCTGCACTGTGGCACCATGTTGGTGATCGGAACGACCTCACAGGCGGAATCGCGGAACCTCCTGATTCGATGGGGACAAACGGAGTTGTCATTGCAGCTTGTTACAGCTGGATCGCCATGTATGTATAGTGCGGAGTGGCGAACAGTGAACCCTAGCTCGTGGAGGGTGGATAGTCGAGTTTGGTCGCGATCTGTTACCCAGTGACAGTGCAAGACGCCGGTACCGAGATGTGTAAGACGACTGTATCCAATACAGACGTGATCGTGAGCGAGGTAATTCATTAGCAGCGTGCAAGGTTGCATCACAATAGGAGCAAGGGCTGACGCCAAATCGCTTTGGAATATTGTTAGCAGCTGGTGGCGGAGCAAAATGTGTTCGGTGCCTCTGATCAAGCGACTATCGTCATGCATTGGGTGGTATGAGATGCTCCTGGCATTGAGGGTCGTGAATAAGTGGTTGGTGAAGGATGTGAAATGATAGCGTGGGACGAAAATGTCGATGTTCGTACAGTCCGTCTGGTCGGGATGCGTGAGGAGTTGAAGGAGGAACTCTCCAGAAATAACAGCATCATATGTCTGTGCAATAGTCAAGGTTAGTTGGTGATTGCACAGGGGGCAAAGTCCACGCACTTGCATCGCTGCGAAGAGGGCAGTTCTATCCGGTAGGACTTTCTCCAATCCACCCAAAATATGCCGCCAAAAAATCATGAGAGCAAGTCCATGTAGTGTGCGACAGCTCTTGGACAACTGAATGACATCAATGGGTCTCGCCATGTGTATATACATTGCGGTTAGTTCAGGCGGTAACCTACAAACATGTGAGCTAAACTTGACATGGAGTTGTAACCTGAAGACTTTACTGTAGAAGCGGTGTGATCTCTGCCATGAATGTCGGGAATGATAGAGGAATGCTCGCAAGGTCGGCATAGGGAGTAGCATAGAAGACATTCGGCGTTTACGGTGTAACAAACCATGGAGGTTGACGGAGCGTACGGAGGCTGGCAGTAGTCGCAGTATGATCCTGCGAAGAAACCCGTTCAGAAAGTCCTTTTTAGATTATGTAAGCTGTACAGCGTCTCACAAAAGTGGAAGTGTGCGGGGGTCTGTTGGCCTGCAAGAGGTGTGGAGAAGGACACAGCTATTCAGATTTCACGAAGGCAGTTTCTATTGGCATGATACAAGAGGTTACTACATAGCAACAGGTAAATACGGGTGGTTCGCCTCTGTAACAGCTAGTTTACCTAAAATGATTTTAATCAATTTTTGCTCAGGTGAATGGAGAGCGCGACTCACCTGCAGAAGTAGTCAACGGCAACGCGTGTGTAATCAGTTCGCGGAAAGCTACCAGCTGGTCATGTAAAGGTCCGGAGTCTGGTAAAGCCAGGTAAACGTGAAAGGTTTGTAGGTGCGAGTACTGAGTTACGAGGGTGTCAATCCAGCTCCAGTGGATGTTGGTTGTAAAACCGCTGTCGTGTCCGACCTGTAGTATAGAACTGGTGCGATAGTCGATATATGCGAAGATTTTTTTGATACATCTAGGGATACAGAGGAGGAGAAGTTCCCAAGTATCCGAGCGAGCACACACTGCGTCTGGTGTGGAGTCGTCGAGTCTCACTGCCCAAGAAAAGGTTTCAAGTCGCGAGCATGTCTTCAAAACAGCAAGTTCTTGAACCCAGTGTGCGGCATTTGGATCTGTAAGGAGCTGTCTACTTAGCATCATACAAAAGCAGATGAGTAGCGGTTTACGATAACCTGATCCAGCTACCGAGATGTGAAGTCGTATCAAGGAGCTTCGACATCCTTTCAGTAGAGGAATGATCCTCCACACCTGTTCTTCATCGAGAGGCGCAATTTGTATCTCTTCTACGTTGGAGGGTAAGATCTTGGCTCCTCTTGCTGACAGTCCAGAACCCCAAGTTATACAGAACACGGTGATTCGTTTCAGAGTTGGGCACAAATGGGCAAGTCTAGCGAGTTCAAGTGTAGGATCAGACCATGTCACGTCTGCGATATGAAGCTCTGTAAGATGAGCCATCAGGGTGACGGGAAGGTCATGCGGACGGAGATCGTTGTCCATGATGCAACAGCTGATGAACTGCAAGGAGGTACACCGGGGTGTGTGGCTAAGCAGCACTAAGATGTCGGGTATGGTAAGAACTGTACTGTCGTCGTCATGATCAATCCAAGTTATAATGCGGTGAAAGCGTAGAGTGTGACGTCTGTTTCGTAGTCGTTCTTCCAGAATGGTGTCAGGCTCTTCGTCCAAGTCGATCGTCAGGTCATGGTAAAGTAACTGCATAGGCAAAGGATGGATTGTCTTGGACAGAGTTGAACAGGCTCGAAGTGTGGATAGGTCTGTTCGGCAGTGGCAAAAAATTCGGCACCAGACAGAGAGTGAAAACATGGTTGATGTTCGTAGTTGTGGTGACAGAGTAGCAGACGCTGGTATGTAGTCACGCATGTCGTGCGTGGTCGTTTTATATGCTCATGTTGATACGGACTATGTTCACACAATTTGCCATGTAAAAAGAGTACAAGAAGTAGTATTAACTGAGTACAACAATCGCAAGTTCTGCGGTAGACAGGTTTACAGAGCTCTCGTAATAGCAGATGGGTAGTCTCATCTTAGTACATGTCCCTGTCATCAAACTCGATTCGGATGGCATCTACTTCGATTTAGTCAGAAGTTTTAGCTGGATGAAACAGACAACTTACTGACGATGACCGGGTGAAGATACGCCATGACTGCATTCTGTGTCAGTGTTGTCCATGAAACGCGTTCTTCACCTTGGTACACTGCGAGTGTCAGCCGTACGTGAGGTATTTGTGCAGCGAACACGTGGTTGAAAAATGTGCACCAAGGGAGGCTGGCAACTGTGTTCGCAATTATCGCATGCGGAAAGGCATCCGCCCACCCAGATGAAGCAAATAATTCGATGCGAACACAGGGTAGGTTGTGACGCAGACGAGTTGCCATGGCAAGAAGAAACCGCCAGTCAAATAACTGGTGGTGCGCGTTGTTGGACAAGAAATATGGCAATGAGAGGCTCAGTCGTCGTAAGGCAGGAAGCTCGTCGATAGGCAATGTCTCCCAGATGGCAACTTCAGTAATGTCAGCTGTAAACAGTCGGTCAGTGATTAACTCGTAGTTTGGAAACGTACATCACCACGTACCAATTCTGGGACTCGCAAGAAATATCTCCAAATATAACAAGCCATCGCGTGAGCCACGGATGATTCGCCAGATGTCCTGAACATCACTTGACCGGCATCCGAGGACTAAAAGCTCTTGCAAGCCCTCATATGCAGGTACGAGGTTCGCCAGTCCGAACTGTGTGGTGGACCATGAATCGTATAAGTTAAGAGCCAGTTGTCGAAAGGATCCGGTGATCTTTGAACGCTGTGTCAACAGGTGCTTCGGAAACTTGGACAATGAACGGGTGTTCATCTGAACCGACTGCAGTGCACAAAGCGATTATAGTATGCATAGAAATGGAAGCCGAGCAGCGGTTGCAATATGCATGGAAGAGACCTGCAATTGAGTGACCGGAGGAAGGGCTGCGTGGCGTAAGTTGAGTCGATCGGCACGGGGCATGTTACAACTTGTCACCCAGTAAATGTCACTGACGATGACTTCCTCCGCATTCGGAAAGTGCAGTAAAGCATGTCAAAAATATGCGCCGTCGATACATGCATGGGGCAAAAGTTCTTCTATGTCTGATGACTCGTCTGTGAACATGGAGTCTTCTGTGAGCGTCGAACTTTTGCAACGCGTCCCCTCTTTCACAGGCACTGGGGTCTGTAACGCAGCATCTACGAATCAGATTCGTTTGACCTTGAGAGACAACAAATTGTTCTTGAATGTAGTCTTCAGTTTAGAGCTGATGGGAGGTCCGTCGCCATGGACGGGAATGCGGATATTGTTGAAGAAGGTGGAGAGTTGCACCGCCGTTTCTCGAGCAGGTCAGTTGACAGCAGAGAGCTTGAGCTGTGAGCTGAAGTCAAGTAGCTTGAGAATAGTCAGGAAAACATCTGTGGATATATTGGAGAAAGGGCAGATGTTTGTAGACATGACTAGGAAGTCGTGATTGAACAGGGTGGCAAAGCATAAATGGGCGGGTATGCAATAGGTTGCTCACCGGAAAGGTGGTATTGGGTGTCAGGGGTGTACTAGCTTGTAAAGCCTCTGCGACTCCTTTCATTTCAGTATACAGTGGACCTGATCGAATGGCGCAAGGGATGGGTATCAACTTCTTGACAAATCAGACAGACACAGAAAACCCAAAACAAGTTAGTTGCCCGGAGCAGATGTAATGTCCGGTCCAAGTCTCCAAGTTGGAGATTGAAAACACCATGGTGACAGAGTTGAAGTAAAGACACATGATTCACTTGCTGGTGGCTAGGTGTAAGGTAGCAAGCAGCAATATGTCCAGAGCATTACATGAGGGGGATAGCCAGGCACCATATTGCATCATCAGCGATTGAACGTTTAGGCGTCTAATTGTCGCGTTAGCCCAAAATATTATGTGGCAGGCGGAAGCAGATTTGCTAGGGGTGAAGAAACTGTTGTGCGTACGTAGCGTAACAAATATAGGCTGTGAGATCTGTAATCCTGTCATCATCGCTTAGCATGCCAGTGTTGTCTATCCCCAGAAGTGTTGAGTCTATTGGTATGTGTAAATGGTTCTGTGGCATTTTCCAGCATACTCATGAGGATGTAAGCTAGTAAATGGCACAGCTGTGAGGCATTTTGGTAGCTGGCCGCTGCTGAAGTTGTTAGGGCTTGCTGCCGCATCCACTGAGGTCGCGGGTGTTGTAGACTGCATCCTGACAGAGAGGTGGAACAGTCTTATCAGCCTGATTTTTCCACAGGTGGACCGTTTCAAGGAAGCCATGCGTCAGTCTGGCGCAATTTTGTCAGGCAGTCGATGCCTTGCATTCCTTGAAGATCATGAAACGTTTGTCCCGGGCGACTGGAATTGGTATGTTCCTGATTACGGCTACGAAGAGTTCGTTCACTTTTTAGTGTACATTATTCATGGGACAGTTCTGTTCCGAACGACAAACTACGACTGCCCCAGAGGTTCGTCGCTGCACTGCACCACCATGGCACGCAGAGGCACCACCTACTTCGCTCGCATTCGTATCGGCTGCGACACCCACAATGTCATTTGCAGCCGCACATCCAATCCCCAGCTCCCAATTGTGATGTTCCACTCGACAATCGTCATGAATTATATATCTGCAGACGGTTTTTCCGTCGCCTACCCTCACACCTTGTTTCGGCGTGTGTCACTCATTACATCAAGATCTTTGTCCCCTGGCGATTTGGACGCTCTCGAGAAGTATCATCGCCGTGGATACATAACTGTTGAGGAGCCACCTGCTGAGGTTATGGGACTGGCAAGGGGGGTATGCTCAGATGAAGGCTTTTGCTGCCGCACCGTCAGGCGGTTTGATGACAGGTATTCCCTGACGTTCCTTTTCCAGGAGGAAGGAGCAGGGGCGACGGAGTCAGGGCATGGGAAATATATGGACAGGGTTAGTTGGAGGCGTGGCGGCAGGAGCTGTGGCAGTGTGCATTGCTCTGGGGTTTTACAGAAGGCGGTGTACACTCTCCTTTTATTTGTTTCTGAATAGTACTAGTGGTCTATAAATGATTTCGTTACTTTTTTAAGCTTGTCTTGATCCCTCTACCGTTCGTCTTTCTCTTGCAGTTATCTGGGTATTACCACGTATGGATTGGGAAACATATCTACTTTTTTGTGAGAACACCAGCACTGAGGTATGTGGTTGACAGGTGTTCCTTTTTCTTTGCTGTGTGGCAGCTCACAAGCACTAGCTTCCTGACTGGTCAAAGTTTTGCTACGCGCCGCATTGGAGAATGACGGATGATATCCATGAAGAACTCTGTCGACTTGCGCAGTACACCGACAATGATCATAATCTGCAACCTATGCAGGTGGTACTGAGTACTAATATTAGTTGGTTAGGAACAACTCTTGTGCAAAATCAGCAACCTGCAATGTTCTCAGTACTTGGCTATGTCTTGGAAGCAGCGTTCATGCACAAAGACCAGATGCCACGCCGAGTCGGGAGACTGAGGGTGAAACCTCTCGCTCACTTAGACTGCTTGATCGGGGACTACGCTCAAATGAAGGCTGGAGCTCCTGGGGCATGTCGTCCTAAGTATCCAACATCGCTGAATTTCTATGTGCCTCAGCATATGTTGCCTGGTGGATGGGTATGTTCACCAATCTTGACGCGAGCAGAACTCTGCGGTTGACCTGGTCTATAGTGTCCGGTATATGATGCCATGTATGATGAAACACCTCCTGAAGATGCGTCCAAAAGGATGCCTTGCACAGAGTTGCGCACGCATGACATAGTGTTGGTGTGCGCGGTGCTCGAGCGAGTGGGGACTCGGACGCATTGGAGATTAACCCGTGTAGTCCGAGTCGTAGATTTGGTGTGGTTTGCCTGAATGTATCATACATTGTAGTTTATACATGGATATTGAGTGCAGTAATCCAAATTTTGCGGAACGTGTGAACAAAAGAGTTTTTGTCAACGGTCGAAGTGGAGTGGCATCAACACGTGAATATCCATCCTTTCACAACTCAGCATATATTATTTACGCGATGTGATACAATCAGCGAAGACTAGAGATTTCTTGCCATCTTGATTTGAGGACGTGGGGGACGACGAAGCTAAAAAGTGAGTGATCAGAGACATCTTCAACACCGACCATGTAGGCTAATGTACCCATCACTATGTATTGTGCAGAGAGTTATTAGCATGATTGACGTAGGCAATGATGTACTGTGTAATGGTTGCAACGTCTTTGACAGCTAGGCGCGTGTGTCGTAACTCTGGAACCAGTAACATGACCCACCACTGCAGACTGGGATCATCCTGAGATGTAATGTTGAGACACGAAACAATGACATCAAAGGCGCACACATACCGATGGAGAGTTGCGAGCGAAGCGTGCCCTACACGGTCTCGAATGACCTTGGGGTTTGTAGTCGGTCGGATTAGACATGTTGCAGGGTTTTTCTTACAGAGAGGACTTGAGGGTGTGCACCATATGAGATGATCCGTACGCACAATGAGCACCGGAGAAGCTAATGAAAAATGAGGGGTGCATTGCCCTGTCTCTGCAACACATCTCCTATATACCATCATATTCACGTCTCCTGCCCTGAACTACATGTGGCTCAATCTCCTCTTACAACATCCCTGAGAGTGTTTGAGGTACACGCACCTCCCTATTTTACTTCATGAGTTGATGACCTACACACTTTGCTGTTGGAGCAGAACTTCGGGAACAAGGTGGGTTCTGGTTTCCGCTGAATCGGCCAAGCCTTCTCACCCTGGAAGGCAAGGTCCGGTCTGCACACAGGGGTGATGTCTTCATGTGATTTGCACATATATCCCTGTTATCCCATGTCTGAGTCACGAGTTGGACTCCTGAAAAAAGGAGACGGCTACACGTGGTTTTTTATTCAATTTTTTGGCGTGCCTGCCAAGGCGATGCATGGCTTTCAGCATGGCCTCTTTACAAAAACGTATAAAGGCTTACCTTATTATAGTGAGGCTCCGTTGTGGATTCATCAAGCGCGATAGTAATTCTCATCACAATGACCCTGTCCAAGAACCCTAAGCTGTACGTCTGATTCATGTATAAGGGTGTACAGTATTACTGACCAAAGGAACAGCTCTGCGATGCCTAACATCAAACCTTACGAATCCATTGTCGGCTCACATAATATCTCGGTTGCTGGATGTACAGCTTCCACCAACGTTTATCCAACCTTGTGCATACATCCAGTTTTTAATCTAGCACCAATTAATTCTTTTCAGTGTCGAGGTCCAAGGTCGTTCGATGCCCTCGGTGATTGCATGAGCACACGCCGTCTGATATCATATCCATTCATGCTTACCTAGATCAAGTTCACTGCTCACAGACGTAGAAGACGAAGGGCCTCCTCCTTTGCAGGCCGCTGACCATAATACCTACACGTCCGCTCCTTCGGACAATGGTGTCAACGGCGACGAGATGCCACCTTCTTTGGAGCCAGCTGTTCCTGTTAAGGATCATCCGACTGCCATGGTGATCATAGATCCTGTGAGCATGTTGACGATGAAGGACCTACAAGATGTGTTGCGTAAGCGATAGATAAGTTGTTTCGTGTGTTAAGCTGTATGCCAACAGTTAAGTGTCGAAGGATGTTTTGTTTGATAAGAGTGTTGAAGTTATGAACTTGATTATGGCCTCGGAATTGTTATGCATGGTCGCGTGTGCCGGTGTGGCGATGTGTAACTTATACTTTCACAAGCCGCAGATACGAAAAGTTCAGGTTGTTGGGTGTCAACGACTCAGGGACGTACCGGCCGCGCGCGGATTTCATACCGATATTGCACGCGTACCTTGCGTCGCCGCGCAACCTCGGCGCGTTCGGACGGGTCACGACACTGAACGTGTGCGACGAGTGTCTGACTTCCTAAAACCCACGGGATGGCACAGTGCAGGACGCGGCGTGGTACGGCGTGCTCGAACCCGTACAGTATGCACGGAACAGGACGACGCAGGATGCGGCGCAGTACGGCGTGACGTCGGCAGGACGGACATGGACGGACAGGACAGACGTTGGCAGACAGGACGGACATGGACGGGACGTGGGCGGACAAGGGTGGACGTACGCTATTGGGCCCCGTACGTCTCTGTCTCTTTGCTTACTGAATGATCATTTCTGACGTCTGGAACGAGAGTGAGGCGTACAAGTTTGACAACTGGCGCCTCACATTCGAGCTCAAGCTCACCAATATTGACAAGCTCCAGGAGGACCGCGGTAGCGGACAATGAAGAACTCGCAGCCTGGAACGACGAGGCGTACAAGTTCAACAACTGGCGCCTCGCATTCGAGGTCGAGCTCAAGCTCACCGGTAGCGACAAGGTGCAGGGGGACCGCGGTAGCTGAAGACAGTCGCGTCCATCAGCTCGCTGTTCTCCCCATTGGGTCAACCATGGCTCTGCGGGCGCGGAACGCGAGCCATGGACCCCTTGGATGAAGCCAGTGACGTGACAGTCGGCGTATCCAGGCAGACACTGCGCACCAGGGCCCGCCGAGACACGACAGCTGACATATCCAACCAAACACTAATTGCCGCCGCCTGCCGCCTCCACCTCGCCGCATCTTATCTCTCCTTGCGCCCAACTTTGTCGTCTATGGGGACAAAGCCGACTCAGCCTAGCCTCTCCCGAATACTGATGGTAGCGACACCGACGAAATGCGTCTGCACTCCGACGACCTGATGCTGCTGCGTCTGCATGAGCGTATCTTGACTTGCGCTGTAGGCCTCGGGGTGTGACGGCCCCTTGGCCCGTTCTAACTCCTGTATCTTCTGCCTCACCCGTGCTGGCACACCTGTTGCCGAACCGCACAAGCTTGCCCCTGGCGCTGCTGCACAATGCATACCTGGAGCATTTCGACCCAATTCCGGAGCCGTTCGGGCAACATGCTGAGCAAAAGCGACTAGTATGAGGTACACGAAGATGTTTCGGTCTGCCACTGTGCGTCCTGCTCTCTCTGAACGGTTTGCAGGTGCGCCAACCTCCGCAGCGTTTACTATTCCACTGTCACCCAGGACCAAGCCGCGGTCTTTGCATAACTCCATATGCGGCACAATGACCCATTTGAAGGTTACATCTTGTGAGCCATTGTGAGTCTGACCAGCCTTCTCGATCCATCTCTGCTGATCTTGGTCCCCGTCCAGTCCCGCATTGTCTGCCGAAACGTCCTTGTTGGCAGCGTGTTCTACACGACACCAGGACCCCAGGCGATGCACAACGCACCGACAGCCCAGGAGGGGTACCATCATAATGCCTATCACAACAGAGTTCGAGTTTCGTGTGCGTGTACACCGCCGACTCTTCTACCCGTGCACACCCCTCAGCAGCGTGCTCCTAGCAATGGAGCGATCTGAACCCGATGTCTTCCTTCCCGTGCCAACGCACCTGCTGCCGCACCGTATAGGCTCGCCCCCGTCGCTGTTGCACAACACGTACCCGGAGCATATCGACCTGATGCCGGAGCAGTCAGAGCTAGACATAGATGACAAAGCATATAGTCTTCAAGATGTATAAAGTACGACAATTGCTTCTTTGCCACAGTGTTTACTTAATCCTACAGAAGTTGTTTGTGCATTACATTCTTCCAACAGTCGACCGTTGTCTGTTTTACCATCATAAATGTAACATCTTCCACCAGGTTTGATGTAGCGCACACTGAAATGTTGAGTATCGCCATATATCACACCCCAAAGTCGCATGCTTGCTCTACGGTTACCATGAGGCACAGAGAGATTGTTGGAAAGTTTGAGTGGTGACATCATATCTCCGACAGGAAGATACGCACATAGCAGAGGGGGAACACGACTAAATGTCACATGTGCTTTTAGCGATCTGCCACAATTCAAAGGGCAAAAATGGGGGGGATTCACAGGCGAACAAGGCATCGAACACTTGCTGTGTAGTGGACAACGTTGATTGATCAGCTGTGGGTATCCACTGTTGCTCCCACAAGATTTCAGATACAGAAGGATCCTCGGTCAGAAAAGCGCGGTGGCAGTTATGGCATATCAATGACAATTTCGCATACGAGGGATTTTTTGGATGACGGATTAGATTAGACAACAACGCTTCAATAGAGGTACGCACTTGACCTAAGCGTGGAAAGAGAACGCCATTTGTTTGGTATGCGACATCACGTAAAAAATCTCTTATGTCTTCAAGACTTGCTCGATTATTGAACACATCATTGAACATGTCCTGTAGTCGTGTCATAACCATATTCGAAGGAGAAACAGCCGTGAGCCAAGGAAACTGCGTCTCATATGCTTGACACCAAAATAACACCACAATCGCATTGTATGTGCATGACCAGTTAATCGCATCATGGGCGAGAACTGTACGTGACGTAACACTATCAGAGTCCAGTCGGTGGCGTTTCTTTCTGTGTCGCTCTGTATCATCTGTTTCCTCACGACCACGTTTGATGACAAATTGCCACGGTACATCAGTCCTGTGTGTGGGTAGTAGTCCTTTCGTACTCACTAATGAAGGGTGAACATGTGCCGGAATGTAATCTTTTCCCTTCAGAGCAGCATAAAGCTGAAGCAGCTGTACCCGATGAGTTGACGTAACACTTGGTGGAAGCGTGCCGTCATATTTCCCGGTGCTAATTTCATCTAAAAGTTCGAGCTCTCGAAATTCTTGGCACAGTGGACCATTTATTCCACCTCGCACCTTCATCTCATCAAAATCGTCCAAAATTAATATGCCAGCCAGAGAGCTACTGCGAGATAAGCAAGTGTACATAGACTGCTGATTTCGACAGTTTCTGAGATGACATAAATTAAACGGTCTAGTGCGTCCCTGGCTGCCAAAATCAGACTTAGCAAAATTCTGCAAGACATGAACTTGTTGCCGATAGATGGATATTTTGGAGTCGTTAGGGAGAACGCACTCTAATTTTTCTGCAACACTCCCGATGGGTATTACATCCTCGGGCAAATTGGGGAGACAAACATGACGGGGAGGATTGACTAGTTTCACGAATAGGGTGTCAATATGAAGTCGTCCTTCTGCGCCCTCGTGAGCATCCCAGCTATAGACAGTGCCTTCCGCACCATTCATTGCACACAGCTCAGTAGCTTCACTGTGCTTCAACATGACTGGCATACCAACACACAACCGGAGAATACCAGGGACATGTTCAGTTGCTGATGAAGGTAACTGCCACACCTGGTCTTGCACTGCGCGTTCCAATGGACCAGACATTCGAGGAGTCAGATTTCGGCCGAGCTCTCTTTGGGCTCTTCGAACAGAATGAGAGGTTGCAGGAGCACTCCACGAATTGGCAGAGTAAAAAGAGTGCAAAGTTTGCCCAGATTCTTGGGCGAAGCGAACCGCAAAGGATGCATTGATGGCGTCTCGCTGAGCATTCCAGGCAATGATTATCGAAATATTTCTAAATTGAGCATCTGCCATACTTGGCGCATCGGGTGAGCGTCCAACCACACGAGTCCGCAACAGAGCGACGTCAGCCGGAGTACATGCCTTGTAACGCATATTATTCAAAGCAACATGAAATTTCTCATCCTCTGCACTCATTCCTTGTTGCCGCATGTTTTGACGCAAGATAACAACTGTATTGAAGGTATGCCACAGTGACTTTCCGATGACATTCTCCTGCGCACGTTGACTATCTCCCCGAGAGTACGCTCCTACACTACCTGAGTATAGCAAATACTGGCCCCGTCCTGGAGGGGGTAATTGTGCAAAGTCTCCTGATAAGATAACACCTACTCCTCCAAAAGCACGGTCAGGACAAGCAAGAGCTTGACACATACGAGCACAGATACGATACATGTCCGAGCAAGACAGCATAGACATCTCATCAATGAATATTAAGTCAACACCTTCGAGCATCTGTCTGACCTTAGCAAGTAATGTAGCTGACGGTGGTCCCTTTGTAGCACTGAATTCCAAGATGTGATGATAAGTGCTGCCACCCAACAACGCCGCTGCAGATCCTGTTGGCGCCATCACAATAAACCTACGCGCCTCTCTTCTGACCTGAAGAAACGCACCTAACAAGCGTATAACTGTTGATTTTCCTGTACCGCCAATTCCGGCGAGGACCATCCGGAGGTTCGCTTGATCACGATGATGGAGGTGAGTAGCGACAATGATAAAGGCTCGCTGTTGCTCGCGATTCAGATTGTGATCCTGTATAACTGTGTGGACGACTTCAAGGTGGAAATCTTGCATGCTCCGATCAACAACTGACGGTCCGTTCTCCGTATAGCAAAAGCATTCAGAACTAACTATGGCCACTTCATTATTTGCACCAAACGGTGCTTGCAAACAACAGCCATAACCACAGCGAACAGACTTTTCTCCAACTGTCTCACTCTCAGTATGACATGCCACCATCGCAGCACGAAATAATTCTTTAGCTTGGGATAGAACTACCCGCCACTCTGAAGGTAATTTTTTGGGTACACTAACAGGATGTAATACACTAATTTTATGCTTGTCAGATCCCAGTGCATCCTGAAGAACCTCATCTATCTCCTGCATTTGCGCACGGTGCAGACTAGTGGTGCGCCCGATAACACTTTCTGCGGAAAGAAATGCTTCCAGTACGTCGTCGTGTATGTGCGTATCACCGTCCAGTAAGTCACTATGCACATTGCTGCCGTCTTCCATGCTGGCAGCAGCTAAGGGTGTCGACAGCGCAGGAACAAGTCCCTGACGCAGTTTAGCAGCATAATCGTGTTTTGCATTCAAACATTCATACAATACATTCATATTTTTCATTATCTGTAAATGCTCAGTCGCAAACTCTGTCTCATTAAACAACAGGCTCCACGAAGTTGTGTCATGTCTCAAGTCCAGGCTGGATCGCCAGCCTCCAGGGCAAAACAAGATCAGCATCACTTGACAATAATATTCCCGATCTCCATGGTCCTTGCGAGGAAGTATTCCACCCACAAAGTTAAGAACATAAGGCGAGGCGACTTTGAATACGCCGTGAGTATTTGCTAATGGATGGGTGGGTAAAAATCGTCTGAAGCACTTGGACTGATTAACGCGTTGAGGACCCGGGCGCATCACATCTCCTTGATCTTCCTCATCGTCATCACTGTGAGTGTCACCTGTATCATCATCTAATGGCTCGAGTTGATCATCGTCACCGACGCTTGCTATACCTTGCGAGTGTATACTTTCGTCTAGCTGAGCCTCATTACGGAGGTCTCGCTGTGTTAATTTTTGTGGGTGAGTCCATATTAAATAATCGTACAGACACCAATTATTATAAATTTCAGGTCTACGAGTATAGTCGTAAACTCGGGAGAAACCCACAACTTGCTCGCCCTGACGCGTCAAAACAACCTTGGAGGGAAGTCCTTCACCTTCTCCGGAGCTGACTAACGGTTCATGGTACCCGGTTTCACCGGCTTCTCGCACAAAGGAATACCAGTGAAACACCTTGAAGGTCTCAGGCGTGTAGTGATCAGAGTGTCCTAGCAAGTATGCACAAATCATGGGTCCCGGAGCCTCATGCAATGCGGTCAAAGCATTTACAATACGAGTTAACACCGTGCGAGCATTTCTCTCTCGTGCAACAGAGCTATTCACTAACTCAACATTTCGATCAAGGACGGTCTTAATCGTCTGAAACATTGCGTGCGTTGTCAGCGTTCCCTTCGTGATGTAATCGGTGACATATGCAATGACAGCACGAACTTGTGTTCCAGATAAAAGAGATGTGATATCGCTGTTGCATCGCAGCAGGTAAGTGATCACACGATTGAAAGTGTTGATCCATGCCTCACGATGTTTCAGCTCAACATCACCTGTGTCCCAGTTGACCAGCACCTCGTCTCGAATCTCTCGCGGAAAGCGCGAACGACAATATACCTGGCCGTTATACTGACGCAAACACCCTTTGTCGTGCTGCTCACGATGTTTATTAGATCGCAAAATGAGCTGGTCGACTTCATCGCAGACCGTCTTAAAGTAAGCAGCCTTCTGTTCGGCAGTTTCCAAGTGCAGTGAGAAGTGAGGGATTCGCTCAGTGGGGTCTCCCACGCCGGCATCGTTAAGCTCATCCCTTCGCGAAGACACACTATCAAGATCTCCGTGACAAAACTCCCCTTGATGCATTGACTCAAGATAATCGATAAAATCCTTGCGAAACTCAGCAGAGGCAAGGACGCGTTCGCGCACTTCGTGTGGTGACAAAGTACCCTCAATCCACAGTAGAAGATGCAGATGCAACGTAAGTCGTCCTTGAGATTCAACTGTACCATAGTAAGTTTTCGTTTTTCCAAACAACCCAGGTTTATCATCTCCTGTTTGCAACACGTGTTTCAAAAAGGAGTCTACGATCTTGCGAAAAAATCAAGCACAGGCAACCGGATTGTCTGCGATGGCCTTCATGCATTGCTCGTACGATGGCATATTCCTGGGATCGAACAGGTCGATCTCTTGCCCGCAATAATATAGGCACAGAAGATGTTTATAGTCACAAGGAGCAAACGTTATAAACCACAGAGGTACGCCCTTGGCTATGATCAAAGACTTGATTTCATTCCATAGATATTTGCGACTTGTAGTAGATCCAGAAACATGTCCCGACACGTGTTCGATCAACTTTGCGAGCTCAAATACATGTTTCTCCGCATCAGTCATATCTGCCCAGGCAATGTGCTCGCCTCGTTCACTACGGTCGATAATAGTAGCCAACGCAGCAGGGTCTACGCTGAGAATTCTATCCACAACTCTTTCCAGATTTCTTGCCTCAGTTAGTAAATACCCGCCATGGGCCGCATCTTTGACTTGTTGCTGATTGAAATATATGAATACGAAGTACTCATCAGTTTGGAATTGTCGATCCGGATACATCAGCAGCTGCCAAACCTGATGTGCGGGAGTAATCCCAGTCTGTATCAGCGCATTTCCGATACCTCCCAGACCGTATGGAAACAGCCAAGGGAATAAATATGGATACATGCGAGGATTATGATAAATGGTCTCTGGTTCTCCATAATGTCCATACGCCAAAGCGTTGCCAGTCTTAAAATACTGAATTGCAAAATTGATTTTATCCTGATATTTCATACTTGCCAATCCAGCTGCTGTCAATCCATGAACTGCGAAAGGACAACTACCTGCTTCTACACCTCTATCTTCACTTGACTCATACACTGTGAGCATTTCGCCTCCAAGAGCACCATCTGTCGGGCGATGAAATACAGCAACAGGCGGTTCCTGTTCGGTATAGCTGTACAAATTCGTGTGCGAGATTTCTACATCACTATACGCGGCGTTATTAAGCCGAAGCCACTGCAATGCAACCAATACTTTATCTCTTCTAACAAGTAAGGGCGTCCGTTTGTAATCTTCAGCGGAAGGCCGACACGGGCCTACAAAAAGGATGGCGAGGCATTCCTCAATCTCCGCGCGAGGGGGAGGTAGTGCCGTGCGCATGCGAGCCACTGGCTGAGGGAACACCACCGCATTGGCAGACATCTTACGCTGCCCTTTGTCAACTCGAACAACACATACATTATGCCGGTAACGAGCGATCAACAATTTCTCTACAAAAGACAAACTCCCTAACTCAAGAGGGACATCGCCAATCCACAGACCATTAGCCAAGGTGTAACGAGGCAGCCTCGATTTCTGTAACGACCTAAGACATTGCCCGCAAATCTCGAGATATGCTGTTCCTTCAATGACGCGTCGGCCACGCTCATACAGAACGGGTCCCGAAATGTCTTCCACAGATTCATGTTCATTTGAACGAGCCTTCCGTGTGACTCCACACCGTTCCAACACTGACAAATCCAGGCAGGACTCCTCTGTAGCGGTGAGCATCTTGATCTCTGTCAGCCGAGCGCACACAGCACACGGACGCTCTAACACTTCCTGCGGCAAAAAAGATTCGCACCAATCGTTAATACAACCGAGCATCAAATCAACACTTGCGGCAGGGGGAGGGAAAACGGGGGTTACGGACAATGTAGACTGGAGAGTCTGAAACCGAGAAAACAATGGTATGGACGAAGGGCAATGCGCCGTGCACACATGTGAAGCCAGCACGCTCTCCAGTTCTGCCCGATGACGATTGCCACGTCCAACAAATATGTCATGCTCACGTATGAGTGTATATAGCACCGGAACAGAAAGGAATCGACCCAAGCTCGAGAGCGGCATGTCCACCGCAACCGCGTCGAACTGCGCGCATTCACCTGCCATAGTTGACCGCGACACCATGCGAGCAAAATAAACGCATGATGTGGACGGTAACGCACCGCACATTACAGTGTACGCCCGAAGAATATCTATCGGTACGCTTCCATCTGAGCGAGGCGGGGCGCCTCCTAAATCCACTGGCAAAGGGAACATAACTTGTCTGCCTAGATTTGACAGGGTGAAACATAGCTCTGTCGTTCTTATGACAGTGGAAAACTTCCTTCCTGGACTTGTATCAGGTAAGGTGAACATCTTCAGGAGATACATGCACCTCCAAAGCAACCCTAGGTAGACACTTAAAGCAGCACGTGCAACCACTGGGAAATAATCAGTCTCAATAGTATACATCCAATCAACGCACTTACCTTGAAGCATGGTGTCAAGCGATGGTAACTCGTTGTGAAAGGTAGTATTGGCCTGCAGCCTGGAAAGCACCGAGGACACCGTGCTAATGCGAGAAGAGCCGCGTTCCCATACAAAACTGGGAAGACAGCCAACGCCTGAGTCACCTCGGCGTCTGAGCAAGCGCGCGCTAGAGTAGCTCCTGTCCTACCTCCTATCCTGCCACCTCGAATCCAAGATACCGATTCCAGGGGGAATCGCAATCCGGGGGGGCCTCATTCGCACGTGATCTACACGCTCCCTGAGGAAGTGACCGCCTGCGCACCGCCAAGTTGCTGGTGATGAGTAAGGCGTTCGTGTATGCAGTCAGACATATATGTAAAAGTGCCTCTGATATATTCTTGAGTACATTTGTGTTTTTATAAGCCCCCTGCAACGGAGAGTACCACTGCAGCCCAAATAGCCGCCAACGGCAGGCTACGGGCGCGGTATGTGTGCGCGTCAGTCACGTGCGGACGAGACCCCCCCGGATGATCCAAGTGGACCAGACGCTCTAACGAGCCAGTGCACTTTGCTTTCAAAGTCCGATGCACTGGCCGACAGTGTTTACACGTCGGAGTTAAGAGCGGATGGAAACGAGACTAGACAAGGCAGAGCTCTTCAATGAGTTCATTAATCCAGAGCTGCGTGATCATATGCGCGAGACGATACTCGACAATGCCCACAAAATCCATCGGCGCTACCTCGAAGGCGAGTTTGAAGATCAACCGGCAAGACTTGCCGGTCTCGTGGATGGTCTGCGTGGGTTTGGAGTCAACGATGAAGAGATCGACGCCATCATTGCCATATCCAAGAATGTGGACGGCGTGCCAAGCGAAGAGCAAGATAAAGAGCCCACGCAAGGCCAAGACGATCCTGACCACTAAATGTACTTCGATACTATGCATGGCAATGGTAATAGCCCCGTGAACATCGAAGACGGCCAGATAGCCTCTGCGAGGCGGCTTCAGCAATATCTCCCTGGGCTACTCACAGGCATCTCGCACGTAGCGTCAAACGCGGATCGTCGTGAACATGTGGATAATTGAGGCACCTTGATGACCAGATGGAGGTCGATGCTG